TGAAGGGTTTCTGTCAGGGAGCAGCGTGTCTTCAAGCTTTTGATTATGTGGTAGCATATGTCCATACTTCATATCTTTTTATGGCTAAATAATATTACACCACGGTTTTTTGGACCCATCTCTCCTCTGGTGGACATTTGCCTTGTTTCCACTCCTGACTGCTATGAATAACGCTATAGGAATGTCTCTGCATGTGTTTTGTGTGGACAGACACCCTCATTTCTCATAGATAACTCTCTGGATTGAAATTGCTGCACTGGGTGATATGATAGTACAGTCCTTTAGTTTTCGAGAAACTATCAGACTATTTTCCAGAAGACTGCCCCGTTTTCATTCCTACCCAGCGATATAAGAATCATAGTGGGGCTGGAGTGATAGCACAGGGAGTAGGGCATTTGCCTTGCACACGACTGACCTGGGTTTGATTCCCAGCACCGCACATGGTCCCCTGAGCACTGCCAGGAGTAATTCCTGAGTGCAGAGCCAGGAGTAACCCCTGTGCATCACCGGGTGTGACCAAAAAAGAGCAAAAAAAATGAATCATAGTTTCTCCACATTCTTGTCAATACTTGTTTTTCCTCTGTCTTTTTACTGTAGCCATCCGAGAGGGTCAGAAGCAGTTGAATTGTGTTTTCCTGGCGGCTAATGAAGGTGAACTTTTTCCCCATGTGCTCTTCAGCTGTTTTTTTTTAAATCTTTTTAGGAGAGATGTATATCCAAACTCTTTGAAGTTAATTTTTTTTTAAACTGGATCATTGTCATGTTATTCAGATACAAGAGACCTTTATATATTCTGGATACCAGATCCTTACCAGATAAGGGATTTTCCAGAATTTCTCACATCTGTGGGTTGTCCTTTCATTTTTTTTTAAATTTCTATTTTCTTTTGTTTTTTTTTTTTTGTGTGTGTCAGATCTACAAAACCATCTGCTTGTTCAGGGCCATGGAGATTTATGTCTGTGTTTTCTTCTCAGAGTTTTGTAGATTTAGCTCTAGCATATAGGTCTTTGACTTTGAGTTACTTTTTTTATATGCCGTGTGAGGTCACATGCCATGTGAGGGCACATGATATTTTGGAGCAAAATTTAAATGACAAATAAAAGTATGTAGCTGTGTGAGGCGTTAATCAAAAGTCACATGATACTTCATTAAGTGACAATTTAGTGAGAGAAAATCAACTTTAACTCCTATTATTTGCCCATGATATTTGCTCTAAACATCTGACAAGCCAAGAATTATTTTAAAAGATCGTTGACATTTTTTTAAAGTGCTTTCAATCAAGATTTAAATAACTAGAACTACATTTTAACAAGCAATGTGAATAATGTTTTTGAGATACACTAAAAGTATCTTTATTCTTGGGAGATGGCACAAAAGGCTGGAGCACATGCTTTGCACATGAGAGCCCTAATTATGATTGCAGAAGTTCATACGCTCCCTGAGCACTGAGCCAGGAGTAGTCTCCAGGCACCATTAGCTGTAGCCCTAAAACAACAGCAAAATCTTTACTCTATAATGATAATGATGTGAGTGACACCCAGCCAGAGGTGACTTTGCACCCCAATCTCCAAGGGCCACCTGGCAAAGTTCTCTGTTGTTCCTGCTGCGTATATATTTGCGAGGGTACCAGTGCTGTTGTTTCACATTGGCAATGCTGTCACGTCAGTCTAATCACCAGACTGTCCCAGGCAGTGGGTGGGGACCTTTTTGGTTGTCGCAGCTGGCAGGGGCTGCTCCCTGCATCCACTGGAGAAAGGACAGAGATGTTCTTTAATGATCTGCAACAAGTAGCCTTCCCCCAGCAGGGATTACCCAGCCTCGGTATGAACTGTGCAACATTGAAAGGCTCGTGGTCCCTGTTTCAGCTTCAGACATCTATGTGCATGTGAAAAAAGGCTTTGCAAACTCACGACACATTTCAAGAAATCATGGAGAGGGGTTGGAGAGATGGTGCCATGAACCAAACACAGTCCATGCACGTAGGAGGCGTGGGTTGATCTCAGTCTCGCACAGTCCCCTAAGCCCCCTAGTTGTGGTCCCTGAGCACCAGCAAGTGTGGCCCATAAACAGACTCTCTGAGGGGCTTTATTGTAACTGAACTGGTGGTCTTTGTGAGCCTGGCCCAACAACCCTTTGCCCTTCGGTTTGCGACCTCATGGATTTCTGCCCTCACGGTACAGAACCAAAATATGCCCATGCATTTCAGGCATCTGTGCCCTTCACAGGGAACCACTTGTTGTCTATGCCAGATCCATTATATATTTATGTGTTTTTCAGTTGATTTCTCTATGTTTTCTGATGGGTTTTTTTTTTTGTCATTTTGAAGTCGATTTGAAGGACACCACCCCTATACAGAATATGTATTTGAAAACCCAGTAGCTTATTTCTGTGGTCGGTGGTTTGTTTACAGGGCCTTCCCAAGGGGTGCTCTGGGGACACAGCGTTACTCTCTGTGACTCAAAGACATGGGTTTTGGTGCTGATTGGGCCCTGAAGTACCAGAGAGCACCAGAACCACTGGTACTTGGAGCCAGGTGGTGCCATGGATGGAAGTAGGGCTGGGCAGGTGTCTAGTGTTTCTCCACCCTGTGCAGTCTCTCTGGCCCTGTTGAAGTGTTTGTGATCTGACATCCAGAACAGCCGTGATCATAGGCAACCATTTGTGAGTGCTCGACACAGTGCACTAGCTACTAACATTTTCTCAACAATTCTGAGAGAACAACTCCTCATTCAGACTTGAGTGCCATTGAAACTGGGCCACAGGGGGCTGGAGAATAGCACAGCGGGTAGGGCGTTTGCCTTGCACGTGGCCGACCTGGGTTCGATTCCCAGCATCCCATATGGTCCCCCAAGCACTGCCAGGAGTGATTCCTGAGTGCAAAGCCAGGAATAACCCCTGAGCATCGCTGGGTGTGACCCAAAAAGCAAAAAAAAAAAAAAAAAGAAAAAGAAAGAAAGAAAGAAAGAAAAGAAAAGAAAAGAAAAAAGAAACTGGGCCACGGAAAGAATGGATGACCTGTCCAAGGTCCATTAGCTGGAATCCTCGTAACCCCCAAGTTGGGACTCAGACCTGATGAGGGTAAACTCTGAGGTGCAGGATGTCACACAGAATCTGGATCACTGGTCCTCAGGACGCGGTTGGCCAAGTGGAACAGTCAGGCGACTGTAAGCCAAGCCGCAGCAAGCACCCAGCCACAGGAGAGAAAGAGAGCCACACAGTAGGCCACGGGAACCCTCCTTCTCATCAGAGACGGGCCCCTCAGTGCCTGTCTCACCTGTGATCCTTCTGCCAGGCACAGGGTCCCGGGCCACTGCTTTGGGAACATGGCCGTGTCTGTGGCATTGCTCAGCATTCCTCTTCATTTTCTACCTACTGGCCATCTCCAAGTGGCCCCCAGTGCCCGAGTATCCCTCCAGACCTGTGATTGAAAACTGCTTGCATGTACAGCAGCCACCACTCTGGATCCCTGCACCAGCACCCTTTGTCCCCCTCCCACCCACCTCATCCCTTCAGCTCTCCTGGAGTGAGGCTCACCCACCTGTCCTACCACTGGCGCAGCTACTGCTCTGCCCAAGGAGTCAGACAGGACTGAAGCACCTTGTCAGAGAGCCACACTGCCTGGCACTGCGACATTCCCTTCCCTCACTGTGCCAGGAATCTTTCCAGTACCCGCCATCATCGCCCCTCTCCCAGAGAGAGTTTTCTGGAAAGGGTGAAGAATGTACCGGCACAGGAATAGATATTCTGATATTCGAAATAGATATTCTGATGGGGGCCCAGCTCCAGCTTAGTCAAATTGGTAATTGTGGCAAAAAAAAAAAAAATTAGGTGAGTTCTGCCTTCCAGGTATCCTCTGTTCTCTGTTGGGATTGACAGGGGATAAACAAACCAGGTAGAGAGCACCAAGGGCTGGAGCACATGCTTGGCTCATGGGAGACCTGGGTTCGATCCCTCCAGCACCACATGGTCCCCTGAGCACTGACAGAAACGCCTCCCAAACTCTTCCAGGTGTGGTCCCCAAACCAAAATAAATGAAGGAGGCGGGGGGAGGGGGGCTCAGTCGTGAAGATGGCCCTCCTCCTTGAGACATGAGGAAGGGCCCTGCTCTGGGCGCTGCCCTGGTCCCTGAAACACCCCAGGTGCATCATTCCTTGCTCAGGACCTCGGTTCCCGTCCTGGAGGAAAGGTGCAGACACCGGATCTCGACGCGCCTTGGCAACTCTCAGCTCCTTGGGATCTCTAAGGTTCCCAGTGAGAGCAGAGCCCTGGCCATCCCAACCCACCCTAATTAGGAATCTGCCTTCCAAGTAAACCCACACCTAGAAGCCTGCCCAAGTTTGACGGGAAAAAAACACGATGATTGGTTGGTGTTATCTTTCTTGAGAGACCCATCTCCAGGGGCGACGTTCAAAATATTTAACAGCCCAGCAGTGTGGCCCGTGCTCGGGTGTCAGGAGAGCGGGGAGCTGTCATCGGGGCTGCGGCATGAAAGCAGGCCACCCTCCCCACACCCCGCCACCCCGCCCCATCCCGCACAGCTCTGCTCAGCCCACCACCACCACCACGGTGGGGGGAGGGGAGCGGGCTGGGCTCAGCCTCCTCCAGCCTCCTTCTGCACCCTCAACCCTAACCCTGACCTCCTTGGGGCTTCCCTCTCTCCCCGGGCACCTTCTGTGCCTAGGACGTAAAGATCTACAGTACTCCAGATGCCCGCATCATCGCTGCAGAGGCCCACGGAGCTGCCCCTCTGTGCTCCTCGCCCCCCTCCTCCGTGCCTTCCAACACTTCAGAGGCCAGAAAGTGCTAGTCGTGTCCTGGGGTCACATCAAGTCAGGAACTTGGATCCATGAGTGAGCTCCCAGGCCCTCGTTGTTCCACAGTGACTTGCTGGAGAAATGCACGTTGTCCGCAGCTGACCACTCTCTTCTTTCTCTTTCTCTTTCTCTCTCTCTCTTTCTCTCTGTCTCTGTCTCTCCTGGCCCCCATAACCACCACTGTAGAATGCACTGCTGCCTGCAGGCCTGAGGCAGAAGGATCAGACCACCAAGGCGCCCACGGGTCCCTTTAAAAGGGAGGAGCTCTTGGATCACTTGGAAAAGCAAGCCAAGGAGTTTAAGGACCGAGAAGATCTGGTCCCCTACACAGGGGAAAAGCGAGGTACTGAACTACATTGCGCTTACGGATATGTCGCTGCCTGTGCATTGCTGAGTGCCGCCTGTCTGCCAGGCCCTGTGTCACTGTGCATCGCTGAGTGCCGCCTGTCTGCCAGGCCCTGTGTGGGTCAGACGTCCCTGGGCCTCCTGGCCCTGGTCTCTGTCTGGCCAAGAATCACCAACCAGCAGCATCAATGCATGACATAGATTTAGCAGCATTTGGGGGTAACCCAAAGTAGGCCCCATGGTGCCTCGGACAAGCATCTCCCCACCCACCTTCCATATTCCCTTGGCTGAGTGTCCTGGGTATCATGCGCTCGCACCCGGACACTAGTGAAGGAGAGAGAGGGAGCTGTGAACTGAGACTGGCCGAGATGCCTACAAGCGGCCTGGCCTGTGCAGACCAGCATCTGTTTCCTCAGCAGAGTTCAGCTGCAGTGCTCCTCCAGGTCTCTGCCCCAGCCTTGGGCAAACCATCTAGAAGGTTCTGGGGAGCAGAGGGGCACTCCAGACCTGCTCACCCTCCAGGACCTCCTGAGCTCCTGTCCTTTCTGCCCTGCCCCCCACACCTCCACATTGCGCTTATCCTGCTGGCTAGCTGCATGCCACCTGTTTCTGAGCATTTATTTCCTCTTCTCCTCTTCCAGCCTCCGGCGCCTCTGCCTGGTCCTCCAGCAGCTCCAAGCTGAGTAGACTTAAACGCAGCCTGGGGCCCCATGTACTTGGAGCTGCCCCCAGGGAGCCCTGTGGCAGCTTTCCGTGTTTCTCTGCAGCATGGGGCGGAGAACCGTAATGTGCCCGTCTCATGTGTTAAGGCTAGTCTAGCGTATCTGGTTCTGGTGAAGGTCATTGAGTATCATTGCCATGATTGCGCTGGGCAGCCCCCAGAGATTCGCAGCCAACCAGGCTGATGTTTCTGTGCCTGAGGATGCGCTGCTGCTTGGGCCAAACAGTGCTGGGGAGACTCAGACCACCCACTCAGGGCTATACCCTGGGATGCTAAAGAACCAGGTGGTGCCTGGACTCGAATCCAGGCTAGGAGCTTGCTGGTCACATGTCCTAACCACTGTTCTGACTCGGGGGGGGGGGGGGACCCACGCTCTGTTCATCTGGGTCATTGCATCCATCCGTTTCACAGCAGGTTTTCTTTTAAGGCTTTTTGTTGTCTCTCTTGGTCTTGCCTTCCCCAGATCTGCTTGTCCACAGACAGTTTGTTGTGTGTTCTCCTTGTCTTCGTCATTGAGTCGGAGGTGGGGGTGGTGATGGAAAAAAGTCAACTGATAAAATGCGGAGACAGCGCCATGGACCCAGTTTTAATGACAGTCCTGGCATTTCCCTTGGTGCTTCCTGCTCCTTCTACCCCTCCCTCCTCCCCTCCCTCCCTGCCTTTATAACCTTGGTTAAGTCACCATCATCTGTGGACTATTGCAGGGACCACCTACCCTCCTCCCTGCTTCCCTCTGAGCCCCTTCCAGGCTATTCTTAATCAATGGCCAAACTAAGCCGCGGTGTTCTTTTCCTTTACTAACTACGGTGAAATTCGTATGGCCCGAAAGTGAACAAGTCAGTGGCCTTTGCTACTTATCTAGATGTTACGGCGACACCAGTTCCATCTAGATCCTAGACATTTTCATCCCACCAAAGTGGAATCTTGCACCTGATAAAGTTTCTCTCCATCCTCCCTGTTTCTAGTCCTGGCAGCCACCATTGTGTGTCTGTGGATTTACCTATTCTGAATGGTTTCTATTAATGAAATCATATGCAGCCCCATGATCGGCTGCTTTCACCTAGCATTGTCGGTGAAACTCTGTCATTTCCTTTTATGACTGATGTCCCAGTTTGTTTATCTATTCATCCACTGATGGACATTTTGGTGGATTTAACCTTCTAACTCTTGTGACTAGCGCTGCTGTGAACATTGCTTCACAGTATTTGTTCGCGCACCTGTTTTTGGTTCCTTTGGGATGTTCACCCACAAGTGGAATGAACTGATGGAGCTCATGGTAACTCTACATTTAATTTTGTTGAAGAACTGACAGACTCTCAGAGCTGAAGCCATAGTACTGTAAGGTAGGGCTCTTGCCATGCACACAGCCGACCTGGGTTCAATCCCTGGCACCCCATATGGTCCCCCGAGCACTGCCAGGAGTGACTCCTGAGCACAGAACCATGTGTTGGCTCCAAAACATTCAGAACTGACAGACTGAATTCCCTAACAGCTATACTGCTCTGTTCCACCTGCAAGTTACAAGGGATTGGATTTATCCTGACACCTGTCAGCACCTTCTTCCTCTTTTTTTTCTTTCTTTTTTTCAAAATGTTAACCCTCGTAATAGATATAAAGTGGTATCTCCCTGAGGTTTTGAATTTCATTTTCCTAAAGATCAGTGATGTTGTGCATATCTTCATGTGCTTGTTGGCCGTTTTGGCGGTGAAGGGACGAGGGTTGGAACGCTGTATGACTGAAACCAATCATGAGCACCTTTGTAACAATGTAGAAATGTCCATATGAGCCCTTTGCCCAATTTAAAATTATACTGTTTGTTGTGGAGTTGTAAATCTGTCTATTCTGAATACTGGATAAATATCAGATATAAGATTTGAGAATATTTTGTCCCATTCAGTGTGTTATCTTTTCAATTTCTTAATATTTTCCCTTGGAGCCTTGTGCTTTTGTTGTCAAATCTTAAGAATTCATTGTTTAATCTAAAGTCATGAAGATTTAAGCCGTGTTATCATCTAAGAGCTTTATCATTTTAGCCTTTATAATTATGTATACAATTCATTTTAACTCATTGGGCAGGGGGGGGAGGGTCATGATTTAAGGCAGGAGTCTAACTTTATTCTTTGTATCTGGATTTTCAATTGTCCCAGTGCCACTTATTGAAGAAATATTTCTTTCCCCCTGAAGGAGCTTGGCATCCCTGTCAGAGCTGTTTGCCATAAATGCATAGATTTTTTTCTCTGGATTCATAATTCTGTTCCATTGTTTATCATCCATCTTATGACAGTGCCAAATGATTTTACTTCGGGATCAGGGTGTCATTTCCTTTTGTGACTAATGTTTCACTCTTTGGGAGTACAACTTTATTCTTTATCATCTTTGTTTTGACTACTAAAAACCTCTTGCAGTTCCATAGGAAATCAAGGATTGACTTTTCCAATTTTACCAAAAAACAAAGAAGGCCATTGTAATTTTGATGACAGTGGCATTGAATCTGTGGTTTACTTTGGGCAGTATTGTTCATCTAATACTGTCTTTGAATCCATGAAGATAGAATAATTTACTTGAGTCTTCCTTTGTCTTTTAGCAATATTATATACTTGAGTGCACAAGCCTTTCGCCTCCTTAATTAATTAGACTCAGGGTCACTCCCAGTGGTATTCTGGACACTGTGTGATGCCAGGCATAGAGCCCACACCCCCTGCATGCTGTGTGTATCCTCAGCCCTTGAGCTCTTCCTGATCCTGCTAATAGGTTGCTGTGGGTGGAATCTTTAGGTGACCCTACATAAAAGTCCATGTCATCTATGAATAGAAATCATTCTTGCTTTGCCCTTTCACTTCCTTTCTTTGCACATTTTTACATAAAAATGATTATGTGGTACAATTTATTTTGGGGGGGCCACACCCAGCAATGTTCGGGGCTTATTCCTGGCTCTGCATTCAGGGATCACTCCTGGCATGGCTCGGAGGGGACCATACGGGATGCCAGGGATCGAATTTGTGTTGGCTGCATGCAAGGTAATCACCCTGCTGACTGCACTATTATTCTGGCCCCCATGTGGTACAAATTATTAACCCTTGTTTCAAAGGGCAAGCAGACAACCTTGGCTGACTTGCAAAGGGCTTCTCTGGTGATACCTGTTCTGTGGGGAAGGTTTGGGACTCAGTCTTCACACATAACCTCGGGGGGAGGGGGTTGGCTCCAGACTACCTACTGGGGCTTCAGACAGAGGCAGACCCTCTGCCCAGCCATGCATCCTCCAGAACTGCATCCCTACTCTGTGTGTGCAGGGAAGGTCTGGGTACCCAAGCAGAAGCCAATGGACCCCGTGCTAGAGAGCGTCACGCTGGAGCCAGAGCTGGAGGAGGCCTTGGCCAACGCCTCGGATGCAGAACTCTGTGACATCGCAGGTAAGTGGCATTCCAGAAATGTCTCTGAATCCTCCAGAAGGGTTGGACCTGTCTGCATGAATACCCACTCTGTTCCTAGCAAGGACTGGAAAAGAGCAAAGTGTTCAAATAGAAACCAAGAACAGGGAGACAGAGATGAGAACCTACCCCTCCCCCCCAGGTCCATGACACCAGGGAACTTCCTGCTGTTGTTGCCACAAGCCCAAATTCTGGGTGGGGAAGAGGACCGGTGGGGATCCCATTCCCAGCCTTGGCATCCAATCCTGCCTCCTGGGATAAGAAGAGAAGGGGTCAGAGAGCACAGGCTTCTCAGGTTTAGGGGTGCACAAAGCACCGTAGCAGAATCATCAGGTTTCGCAGCTTTGCCCAGCTTGGAGAGCAGGGCTGGGAGGTGACCCGCCAGGTCCCAAATGTGCACCATCATCTCCATGGCCACATGTGCCCCAGCGTGCTGTCCCAGATAGCCCCAGCACTCCAGAAGGTGGGCTGAGATTCAGAGTGCCTGGCCGCCCACCCTGGTCTTCTCATGGCCCTCGCAACTCTGCCCCCTCCCCCTGAGAGCCCCAGCATCCCCTCCTTCACCCCCCTCCTCTCCTCTGTCCCCTGGCCCAGAGAGACACCTGGTCTTTATCTGCTGCAGACTTGATGGCCACTGGTCTTTATCTGCTGCAGACTTGATGGCCACTCCACTCTCATTTCCCCAGAGCAGGGTGGGAGAGATGAGGGGGAGGAGGAGGAGGAGGAGGAGGAGGAGGAGGAGGAGGGTGAAGGACTGTCAGTGAAGACTTGATGGCCACTCCACTCTCATTTCCCCAGAGCAGGGTGGGAGAGATGAGAAGGAGGAGGAGGAGGAAGAGGAGGAGGAGGAGGAGGAAGAGGAGGAGGAGGAGGAGGAGGAAGAGGAGGAGGAGGAGGAGGAGGAGGAGGAGGGTGAAGGACTGTCAGTGAAGGGTCCAGATTTCTGGCTCCAGATACGAAGTAGATGCTGATGCCATTAATGAGAATCACGACTGTGCTTGGGCGGCCATAGCTCTGAACTCTGAATCCCACAGATGGGCCGGTATAAACACCCGCACAGGCTCCGCTCACCATGGGCAGACCCTTAGTTCGTGAGTGAGAGAGACTGGGGCTGGGGGTGGGGACAGGGGGCAGGGCCCACTTAGGTACCTGAGATCAGAGGCCAGGTGAGATCCAGTGCAGGGGACCCGGGCAGCAGCGGTCTGAAGTGTGGTGGAGGAAACCCCACTTCCGTGGGCTTCTGTGCCTGAAGGTAAGGCGAGGGTGAGAGAGGGATGGAGGCCCCCAACGCTGGCTGCAGGGAAGGCCAAACGCTGGGCCGGGCTCCCTCGAGAGTGCCTGGCCAGAGCCCCAGAGGTGCCCTGTGGGAGGTGGCAGGCCCTGGGCTCTCCCCGGAGACCCCATGGCTGCACCACCTGCTCTGTCTGGGGCCGCTTCAGCAACAGGGTCATGGGGGAGCGCATGTTTCCAGGACCTTCTTAGCCTCGGGGACACCCCAGAGGGTGCAAAGTGGGGAAGGCCAGCAGGGTGTCGGGGTGCCCTGCGGTCTTGGCCAAGCCGACTCAGGGGAGCAGAGCCTGTCCATGAACTCTGACCCCTCTGTTCCCTCCTTCACACCCAGCTGACATTTGTCTGGAGCTTCTGCTGGGTGCCAGGCTCTGAAGGAGCCACGGGGAGAGAACCTGAAAAAAAAAATTCACTAAAGCTGAAGCGATAGCACAGTGGTAGGGTGTTTGCCTTGCGTGCAGCCAGCCCGGCCGAGCCAGCTTCGATTCCTACACCCCTCTCAGAGAGCCTGGCGAGCTACCGAGAGTATCTCTCCCACATGGCAAAGCCTGGCAAGCTACCCATGATGTATTCAATATGCCAAACACAGTAACAACAAGTCACAAAATGGAGACGTTACTGGGCACGCTTGAGCAAATCGATGAACAACTGGAGGACAGTAACAATTAAAAAAATAGGAACAGGGGCTAGAGTGATAGCACAGCAGGTAGGGCATTTGCCTTGCACGCAGCCAACATGGCCGACACAGGTTCGATTCCCAGCACCCCATATGGTCCCCTGAGCACCGCCAGGAGCAATTCCTGAGTGCATGAGCCAGGAGTAATCCCTGAGCATCGCCGGGTGTGACCCAAAAAGCAAAAAAAAAAAAAAAAAAAAAAAAATAGGAACAAAGCAGCCTGTTCCTCCACTGGCAGAACCGAGGTCAAGCAAGCACAGAGAGGGCATGTGTGTAGAGTGACAAAGGAGGGACTGGCAGGAGGGCGCAGATGGCCAGGGCATGTGTACTGCGTGCAAAGCCCCGGTCCCCAGCCCCAGGACTGCAGGGACCCCTGAGCATCCATCCGGGAGCCACTCACAAGCGATGCTGGGTATTGCCCCCCCCACCACCACCCCAAAAACAAAAGAAAAAATGACAAAGGAGAGTGAGTGCCATGATGGAAACAGCAAGGATGGGGCCAGGGGTCGGGGGTCGGGAGAAGGGAGGAGGAGGAGGATGAGGATGAGGAGGAGGAGGAGGAGGAGGAGGAGGTGGAGGAGGTGGAGGAGGAGGAGCTGCTAGGGGGTGCAGGGGCGCTGCATCCCAGGCAGACACCAGCCCTGCAGGCGCACAGCAGGCTGGCTTGCTGGCAGCGACAGGAACCTGTGGGAGGACACCCCCGCGACGTGTCATCCTGCTCAGCTGGGGCCCGGCTGGGGCCAGGCCTCTGCTTGTCTGTGTGACTCACGGGTCCCCATCTGCGACACCAGCACAGAGATGATTCAGTCCTGGCCTTGGGGTGGGGGGGCGACCCAGAGTATGGGGAGGGAACAGCCCCCAAACCTGTCAATATAGAAGTGTCCCCCAGAGTGTGACGAGAAGAAGGCACAGTCCCACTAGGCCCCCAGGGGTTTGGCCTGTGACCTTGGGTTGTCAGTTGGATGCCACTGAGTCAGCTTCAAGCATTTGGAATCATCAGTTCGGGGGCCTGACTCACTGTCACGGACCCCAGAAAGAATTGGGGGTAGAGAGACTCCACCCTGAGGGAAGTTGGCGCCCCCTAACTCTTGCAACACTCAGAGGCTGTCTTAGCCAGACCTCCCCTGGCTTCTGATGCACGCCCCCCCACTCCCCCCCGCCATGTGGATGGGCACCTGGTCTACGCCCCCTTCTCCCACCTGCTCCTAGGAGCTCCCAGTGCAGCTCGGAGCAGCCCAGCGGCTGGCGACTGGAGGAGCTCGGATGGGCACCGCTGTCTCTGCACCCCCGTGGAATCACTCGCTGAGTGAGCCCTGCCAAGGCAGGGGGGGGAGGGAGAACTCGATGTTCTTTTTCAGAGTTCAAAAATAGTCCTTTTCTTAAGTTTTAAGGAAGATGTCGACTTTTTTGGGGACAAGAAAAACCACGTTCCCCTGCGCTAAATTCAGCCTTGCCAGTATCTGCAAGGAATGAGGCAGCAGTGCTGGGACCCCGGCCTCCACCATCACTCACTGCGGGAGACAGGGGGAGGGAGAAATAGCAGGGGGGAGGGGGCAGGGCGGGGGAGGGAGGCAGGAAGGTGGGCTGCAGAGCTCTGCACATCAGTAAACATCTAGATTGAACTCCCTCCCCTCCTCCCTCCTTCTTCCCTGTCTCCCTCCCTTCCTTCTCTCCTTCCTTCCCTCCTATCCCTGCTTTCCTTCCTCCCTCCCTTCTTGAAACCCCACATCCGCTGAACTGCAGAGCAGTTTCATTTCTACTGAGACCTGCAGTTGGCATGTGTTGTATCCTGTCTAGATTTCTTGGTTGTTTCTTTTTCTTTCTTTTTTCTTTTCTTTTTTTTTTTTGGATGGCAGGGGGCATACCCAATGGATGCTTAGGGGTTACTCCTGGTTCTGCACTCAGGAATTACTCCCTGCAGTGCTCCAGGGGTGCCAGGCATCAAACCTGTGTTGTCCACATGCAAGGCAAGCACTATCTGTACTTTCTCTTCAGCCCCAGACCTCTGACGTTGAGGTGTGTTCTTTTGAATTTGAGCCCTTCAGAAGTCCTGGAGTAGACAGACAGGAGTGGCTAACTTAGTAACCAGGAGAATCCTCACTCAGTGACTTCAGATAAACCATTTCCCTCTTCAGCATGCTGGAAAAGTTGGGGGTTGCCTTGGATCTTTTTTTGTAAGGATTGAGCAGCATGGGGGACAGAGATGAGAAAGGTTGGTGTGCACCCCAGATCAAATCCCCAACACCTCACGGTCCCCCCAGCACCTCTGAGGCTAATCCTTGAGCACTGCTGGGAAGTAGCCCATGGGCTACTTGCCAAGGGTGACCCCCAAACAACAGACAAACAGAACTGAGCGAGATGGAAAGATGAGGAATGATTTTGTTGGCTGTTGAGTCTGAAGTGAAGGATAGGGATGAACATTTAGACTCTGAATACTCCTTTAACAGGGGAGAAAACTAAGACCCCCAAAGGGGAAGTGTCCTGGGCAGGGAAATGTAGTCAAAAGGCCAGACTGAGCCCAAGGCCCCTTCCCTTTGTCCCCCAACTCATCTCATGGCTTCCTGCCTCTGGACCAGTGCAGGAAGCGATCTGTTGAGCATGAAAGGCCCTTTCCATTTCCCACCTCTCCTGACATTCATTCTAAGCAAACTCAGAAGCCATAAGAGGTGACAACTTTTCTGTGGTCCTCAGCGATGCTTCTGAGTTGAGATCCCAGCAGAGAGCGTTGCTCCCTGGGGGAGCCCCAGAGCCTGCTCAGGAAGGAGGCCCTCGGGGATGGTTCACCTGCTGCTGACTCAGGCCTCGGTTTCCACTGCCCATGGAGAAGCAGCCGAAATTAAATCCCAGAGAGAGAGAGAGAGAGAGAGAGAGAGAAAATGCAGATGCCTCTCTGCCTACCAGTTCTTCTTGGTGATGAGCATGCATGTCTAATTTTAGCGGAGAAGACGCCAGGAATGTGGGAAGCAGAAGGGACTGGGGGATCATCTCATCCTGCAGAGCATCATAAGTATCTAAGAGGAAAAGTGTGTCCAGGTCGGAGCCATAGCACAGTGGGTCAGGTATTTGCCTTGCACGCAACAGAGCTGGGTTCAATCCCTGGCACCCCATAAGGTCCCCCAAGCGCTGCCAGAAGTGATCCCTGAGTGCAGAGCCAGGAGTCAGCTCTGAGCACAGCTGGGTGTGTGCCAAAAACAAAGAAAACAGAAACAAAAAGAAAAGTGTATGGGGCTGGAGTGATAGCACAGCAGGTAGGGCGTTTGCCTTGCATCCAATTGACTGGGATTCAATTCCCAGCATCCCATATGGTCCCCCAAGCACCGCCAGGAGTAATTCCTGAGTGCAGAGCCAGGAGTAACCCTTTGCATCACTGGATGTGTCCCAAAAAGCAATTAATAAATACATTTTTAAAAAGAAAGAAAAGTGTATCCAAAACCGGAACTACAGTACAGCTGGTAAGGCACTGGCCTTGCCTAGAGGGGATTTGACCTGGGCTACACTCCAACCCTTTTGATTTCTCTCTGTCTCTGGCTTCAACCCTTGGCACCACACGTGGTCCCCTGAACCACACCCAAAGTGCTTCCTGAGCACAGAGCCAAGAGTAACTGCTGAGCACTGCTGGGTGTCTCATCTCCCAGCATCCACCGCACCCCCAACCCCCCAAAAAAAGGAAAGAAATAAGAGAGTCCTGGATATGTTGGTCTGGGCTGGGACACTGACACTGTTTGAGCCCTCTGGACCAGCATCTGTGCAGGCAGCACAGGGGACTAAGGCTTTGGCATTCCCTCACCACACAGATGCCCAGAGAGTAGAGGACACTTGCCCAAAGCCACACAGCTCTGAGGGTTGAGTCGGGAGTGGGATTGTAGTCTCCTGCGTCCTCACTGAGGAAGCCTGTCTCCTCTCTAGTAGAAAATATGGCTAATAAATGACTGGGGGAGGGGAAGGGGGACAAGATTATCACAAACATTTGCCGAATTCTGGAAAGGAGTGGGGAGGGGAGGGTTGCAGGGGAGAGGAGAAGGAGCACGCTGCTCTTACTCTAGCAGGCCATGGGAGCTGCACACATGTACCAGAAGTGTCCAGCAATGTGCAGGCTCTGCACTGTAGAGAAATGATGAAGAGAGAGAGGAATCCAGGAGGACTCCCTGCGGGAGGAAGCTTTGTTCTGGGGCTTAAAGTATAGGGAAGGAGAGAGAGGTCAGACTCGGGCTGCTGGGCTGGATTTGAACTCCAGTGAAGAAATAAGTGTTTCACATAGGCAGGTCTTCAGTGCTGCTTGGGACATAAGCTGATGCACTGTTTATCTGAAATCCCAATTTCGTTGGATAACTTGCTTGGGGTTTTGATGTTATGTATTTGGGTATTTTTTTTCCAGTTTGAGATCATAGCTGGTGGTACTCAGAGGCCACACCTGACAGTGCTCAGGGGACCCTGTGTGGTACTGAGGTTCTAGCCGGATGGCAGCCACCTGCAGGGCAAGCATCTTCACCTTTGCCCTCTCTCTGCCCAGCCCACAACCTGGGCAGCCCTCATTGAAGTTGGCACAGGCAGGGGAATCTGAAGAGCAGCGTCCATGGTGTCGCAGGAGCAGAGGGACAGTGGGCAGGGAGGGCGAAGCTGGTATTACCTGCCAGACCCTGGGAGGGGCCAGGAAGCCAGGCTCGGGGGTCCCAAGCCCCCATCTCTCCCCCTGACCAGCTGCCACAGCCTCTGCCCCCATGTCCATCTGCTCCTCTGTGGTCAGTTCCCTGCACACAGCCAGGGGGGTCAGCCTCGGGGCTCCCGCCTGCGACAGCCTCCTAGGCTGCTTGACCCCTTCCCACAGCACAAGGGTCCTGTGGCAGCGGGTGAGACTGTTTGAACACAATCCATGCCCAAGGGATTTCGGTGCAGGGGAAGAAGCTGTTCCTGGGAATGAGAAGTTCTGCTTGGTCCAGGTTGGTTGGACTGGCCTATGGGGCCCAGGCACATTAGCACTTCCCAGAACCTAAGAGGGGCCTAAGGGCTCCAGGCTGGGGACAGAGATTCAGAGAGCTACGTAGAGAGAAGGCAAGAGTAGAGAGCAGAGCATCCTGGAAGCATCCATGAAAGTGTTAGCTGTGCCCTCAGGAGCCGAAGGAGAGGTACTTGGGGCCTGTCATGTGAAACACAAACCGTTGCCAACACAAGCCTCACCTGAGAGGAGAAAGGACAAAACATGCTTACCAAGAGCCCCCTTGGTCCTCCCCGGGACTTCCTTGGAATGCAGAGTTCATCCCAGTGCTCTGGGACAAGTCTGGAAGACACAGGGCAGTGGCAGAGACATGGAAGTCCTTTTTCATACGGAAACTCTGTCATTTCCAAGGTTTCTACTCATCAGTCTAGGTGCAAGAAAAAGGTATTCCCCACCACATGTCCTTAGCGTAACATGACGCTCGGCATAACTATGCTGAAGGACCCCCTGCCAGGCTGTTTCACTCGGGGCACTCCCGAGGGGGGTGGGTGAGACCCTTCACCACACCAAGGGACCCAGCTCCAGCAGCCAACAACCTCCACAACCCAGCCCCCGCCATGCTCACGGCCACTCTCCACATGCTCGGGCAGAGCATCACCCACGAGTGAATCTATTCCTGGACTGTATGGCCACATTTGCAGCCACACAATACTTCAAACCACACACCTTACCCATACACCAAGATTATCGCACCACATTTGATAGTGTTTAAAGTAGGAGGCAACCAATCTTGGAGGGAAATGTACATTATTTTTTTTATACAGATATATATAGAGAGAGGACTGGAGCGATAGCACAGCAGTAGGGCGTTTGCCTTGCACGCAGCCAACATGGCCGACCCGAGTTCGATTCCTCCGCCCCTCTCGGAGAGCCCGGCAAGCTACCGAGAGTATCTTGCCCACACGGTAGAGCCTGGCAAGCTACCCGTGATGTATTCGATATACCAAACACAATAACAATAAGTCTCCATTGGAGACATTACTGGGCCCGCTCAAGCAAATTAATGAACAATGGGAGGACAGTGACAGTGATATATATATATATAGAGAGAGAGAGAGAGAGAGAGCGCACGTGACTCAACCTTTAGCATGTTAGTGATCTCTTATAGAAGGGCTTAATGGCCCCTGGGTGAAATACAACAGCCTTCACACTCTGTGGGTACTTTTTGTATCATTTTGTATTGTTTCATAAAAAACAATACAAAATACATTATTTCGGTTCTGCTTTATGGCAGGGATTGGGGTTTGGGATGGGAACACCTGAAATACGGTGGTGGGAAGGTGTAATGTGGTGGGATTGGTGTTTGAATATTAAATGCAATCAAATATCGTGAACTGCTTAAAAAAGCTTTTTAGGGGCTGGAGCCATAGCACAGCGGGTAGGGCGTTTGCCTTGCACGCGGCAGACCCGGGTTCAATTCCCAGCATCCCATATGGTCCCCTGATCACTCCTGGGCTAATTCCTGAGTGCAGAGCCAGGAGTAACCCCTGTGGATCGCCAGGTGTGACCTAAAAAAGAAAAAAAAAATTTTGTAAAGGTATTTCCCAGAGGGGGTGCTCATCTGAAACGGTCACTGTCACCTGTGCCAAGAATCCTGTCCCTTTGGGTGCCGGTGGTGACCCAGGCTATCCATCTAAGGGTGGTCCAGCATGGAATGTGCATCTTTCTTGGCCAGAAGCAGGCGGGAAGCTGTGACTTTACTTTTCCTCGAAGACTGTTACGGTGCATTTAGCTGCTGTGTCTGGGTGACCTGACTCCTGGGGGATGGCCCAGAGGCTCCGCTCCCTGGGCCTGGACTCACAGGCCCTCCCCTCTCCCCGCAGCCATCCTGGGCATGCACACGCTCATGAGCAACCAGCAGTACTACCAGGCCCTGGGCAGCAGCTCCATCGTGAACAAGGAGGGACTCAACAGTGAGTATGGCCCCGCGGCCCCGCGGCCCTGCAGCCCCCACCCCCAGCGTCCCGGGGGGACGTCCTTCCTGTCTGCCGCCTCTGCCCAATCCCGCTCTTACACAGATTTCATGCTTCCCTGGAGCTGAACCCACCCGCCCTTCCCTGCCACTCCCTGGGGATCTCTCGTCCCATGGACCGAAGCTTTCCTCCCCTTTCCTCGGGCCAGTGTCATGCAAACAGCCTCCTGCGTTTCCCTCTGCAAGCCCGAGCGAGGGAGGTGCTCCTGGTGGTCACTTCCCCGCTGCCCCTGGCCTCCACACCTCGGTCTCCTGTGATGTGAGAGGAGATGAAAGGTTCATCTCCTCATAGAGAGCCCCGGCCCTGCCGTCTCTGGCTAGACGCTCTGTCCTGGGCAGATATTTATTTACTTCCCCAGGACCACCCAGGTCCATCTTTGGGTGCTTCTTCTGTTCCACATGTCCTCATGTCCACCCCAGACATGAGGTTTTCCCCCTGTCCTCATAATGCCACTGACTTGGGGATGGTTAAGTTGGCCCTTTGGCCCCAGAGAGAAATGTGTGTGCTGAGAGAATACTCATCTCTCTCTGGGAGGCACGCGTACCTCCTCCCCTGGTCAGGCCTGGCCGTGTCCTCACGGGATCACTCAGAAGCCCAGGTACAGCTGAGGACACTGAGGTGCTGTGCTGTGAGTTCGACTCCTGCCAGCTTCTTGAGCGCCAGGAGCAGGTGCAATGTCCTGAATGGGGCTCATCCCACTACAATCGCCCTTCCCAGGAGCCCCTAACCTTACGCTCAGCCCCCCCACCTCCTTCTAATGCCCTTTCTTTGAGGGCAGGGGGCCCACCCCCGGCCCCCTCACCAGCCTCCCGGTGACCCTCCCTCTCGTCGGCCCCTCTAGGTGTAATCAAACCCACGCAGTACAAGCCGGTGCCTGACGAAGAGCCGAACTCCACAGACGTGGAGGAGACTCTGGAGCGGGTCAAGAGCAACGACCCGAAACTCGAGGAGGTCAACCTCAACAACATCCGGGTGCGGCCCCTTCCTTTCCTTCCCCTGGGGGATGGGGGGCGGGGTGCGCAGTGCTGAGAGAGAAGCAGGGCCCTGTTCAGGAGTCGGGAGTCAGCAAGGGCTGAGGAGGCCCCAGGGTGCGCGAACCCCTCCCTTAGTCCAGCTTCCTGTCCGAGGGCCAGGCTGGGGGCGCACGCCCAGGCCCACCAGCCCCGATTCCGGCAACGCACCCACGTCATCCCACACCCCAAGCCTTCCTCCCTGGGAGTCAGACAGTCCGGGGGCACGGCATGCCCGGGATGGGAAAGCCCAGCACCCCCAGACTTGGGGTTGGGTTGACTTGACCCTGGTAGGGTTGTCCCCATTCACATGGATGTATCCAGGTGCACCACCTGCCTCAAGGCTCCAGGATATCCTCTCAGCCGTGGGCCCATCTTCCCCAGGACAGGGGGGTGCCGGTCCTCTTGGCATGGGGAGCCAAGCAGTGGGCCCGGCTGCATGACTCCTGCTCAGCGCCGACTCCAGCTCTTCTTTCCCTTCTCCCCTTTCCCGTCCCTGGCCACCAGCCTGCGGCACCATCAGATTGGGCTGCCAACCGCCGTCCCCAGCCCCCCTGTCCTCCCCACCTGGCCCTGGTCCACAGGGAGCTACAGTGACACGGGAAAGGAGAGAGCTGGGAAAACACAGCCAGGCTGGGTCTCCTGGGACTTCACCATCTGCTGGGTAGCAGATATTGAGAGCTGAGACCCTTGGGGGAACCCGGCTTTGAGCTCCAGCTGTGACACCCAGGGCTGCGTAGGCACCGGGGGCCTCAGGCATGCACTTAGCCCTCCCCGGGCCTCAGTTTACCCCCCCCCCCCCACTGCACGTGGGGCGGTGACACTGGGTCAGTGATCTTCCCTTGAGGAAATAGACAAGCTGATGCTCAAGCCCACCTCTGTTTCCGCACTCTGCACCCCAAGCCCCAGACTCTCGTTTTGTGGGTTGGGAACAGGCCAAAGTATCGGGGTTCGGTCCAGGCGGCAACATCCTGTGCTGTGGGGGCAGCATGGAGGCCCTCCAAGACAGATATCACTCAGAGACCCTCCAGCAACAGCTCGCCCCCTACTCACCTTTCCAGAAACAGGCCAGAGAGGGTGAGACGCCCCCGCTGCCCACCCCAGTGAAAGCCCACTGGAAGCAGGGCCAGGCCTCACGTTCCTCTGCATCATCTCTCTCGATTCTTCCCCTGTCTTGTCTGCACCCAGAACCAGGGCTGGTCCTTCCTAGAGTTTTCCAGGGACGATTTCCTTAGTCTGTTTATCAGCAGAGAGAGAGGACAGTGGGAAGGGCATTCGCATGTGGTCAAGTCAGGTTCATGTGGTCTCCCGAACACTGCCAGGGGCATTTCCTGTATGGAGAGCCTGGAGTAAGCCCTGAGCACTGTCAGGGGTGGCCCCATAACAAAAATAAAATTTTTAAAAAATTATTGATTGTTGGGGCCCGGAGAGATAGTATAGCAGACAGGGCATTTGCCTTGCACATGGCCGACCTGAGTTCCATCCCCAGCATCCCATATGGTCCCCCAAGCACGGCCAGGAGTAATTTCTGAGTGCAGAGCCAGGAATAACCCCTGAGTATTACTGGGTGTGACCCAAAAAGCAAAAAAAAAAAAAAGTATTCATTCTTTATCTTTAAGTTTTCTCCCAACTCAGCCCTGAGGAACAAAGCCAGAAAGTTTTTCTCATTCCAGGTTATTTGGAGGGAGGGGTTTATGAGGGGTGTAGTGGGGGTGGCCAGGTAGGTCTGGAACTCACTTGAAATTGCTTGAAATGAGGGTGTCTGCTTTCAGTCTGTCCCACCTGCCCCTGATGGGTGCTGATACCCAATGCTCTCTCTCTCCCCAGAATATCCCCGTCCCCACCCTCAAGGCCTATGCGGAGGCCCTCAAAGACAACACTCACGTGAAGAAGTTCAGCATCGTGGGCACTCGGAGCAATGACCCGGTGGCGTATGTACGTTCTGCCCTGTTGTGCAGCCTGGGGGGCAGGGAGCAGGGGTAGCAGAAAGATCAGTCTGAGCAGGTGGCCTTATCTGTGCCCCAGGGGGCGAAGCAGCTGGCTGGTGGCAGGCACTGGGCTAGGAGCCAGCTCAGGCTGTGGAGGGGACAACCACCATCCGGGCTCCATCTAGCTAAAGCCACTGCCAGCCCTGCTCCTCCCACCTTCTGTAAGACCTTCTATAAGATGTCACTGACACGCTGTCAAAGGTTGAGCCTTATGAACTTTCACATATATATCTGTAAATATATGTGTGTGTATGTGTGTGTATATATATATATATATATATATATTTCCCTCTATGATTGGTTGCCTACTATTTGAACCCCATCAAATGTGGTGTGGTACTCTTGGCGTATGGGTAGGGTGTGTCTTATGATGTGTCATGCGGTCACAAATGTGGTCGCAAATGCGGCTGTGCCTGCCTGTGCCTTGATTCTTTTTCCTCCGCAGTTATCCCTCTGCTCTTGGTACCTCGTTTAATAGCGTTGTGGCTTGGGAACAGGCACAGTCTGATTTATGGTCTCTGACATTTGTCTCATGGCCCAGACGGGGTTGACTGTGGGCGAGAGAGTGAGGCCTGTTGTTCTTGGATGAAGCAGGCGGGCAGATGGCAGCTCTGCCCAGTGGCTTGGCCGCGTGGCTGAGCGCAGCCCTGGCCTCTCTGCTCGGGGCCTGCTGTGTCTGTTCCTTCCTACCAGAGGGCGTTGAGGTTCCGTCCAGGAAAGTCGGGTTCTCTGTTTCTCTGCACATGCCTGTTTGCTTTTGCCCCCTGCGGTTTGACACTGATTTAAGCATAGATACAGAGGGCTCAAGAGATAGTACAGCGGGTAATGCACTTGCATCTGCAGTTCCCAGCACCCCATGTGGCTCTATGGGCCCTGCTCGGAGGGATCTCCTAGCAGAGAGCAAGGACTAAGCCCTGAGCACCACTGGGGCTGGCACAAAAACAGAAACCAAAAAAAGCATAGATTCATGAAAGGTGATTGTATCTTTGGGAAAGTGGACTCCTTTATCATGTTATAATGTTTATTTACTCCACTTAAAGGCTGTTTAACAACAAACAATTTTTTTCTGATTTAAAACAGGGTAGTTTCCTTAGGTATCTTTCAAATGATAGACATATCGGGGTCTGAGAGATAGTATAGCAGGTAAAGCACTTGTCTTGCATGCTTCTAATTCAGGTTCGGTCCCTGAGCACTGCCAGAAGTAATCCATGAGCACAGGGCCAGGAGTAAGCCCCAAGCACTCCTGGGTATGACCCCAAAACATAAAACAAAACAAAAAAAGGAGAGAGAGAGAGAGAGAGAGAGAGAGAAGATCCTAGTTTCTGTGCATGGCAATGGGGAAATCCCTGGATATAGGATCTCTGACTGCCCCCTACCCTGAGCTTGTCCATGGAACCACAGCTAACAAAGCCACAGAACCCCACTGCTGGGCTGTGCATGGGCAGAGGCTGGGCACCTCTGTGCTGGCACTCAGCCCAGTCACACACACACTTCTGGGGTGATGACTTTGCCCCAGGCGCCAGCTGCTGCTCTCTGCCCTGTCACCCGAGTGCAGGCCGACATGACCCAGTATTGAAATGCTCCGGGTGTGATGGGTGAGTAACACTGCCAGAGCTCCGTACACACACCCCTGTTGGCCCAGGTCCTCCCCTCACCCCGCCCTTCCCTGTAACCCAGGCATGGGTCTTCTTGGCCACCAACATGTCATCTGTATCAGCTCCGTGGTCTTGCCTCTTGGATTCCTGGGGAAGATTGAAAAAAAAACTGCAGTGGAGAGAACACAGACAACTCCCCACCCCCACCCCAGGGTCTGATCGACTCATGGTTACAGAGAAAGTAGACATGTCAGCCCAGGGTCGTGTGAAGTGGGTGAGACTGCAGGAGAGTCGACATGGAAGGTTTCCTGGGAGCGGGGGCTGCACAGGCTCTCACTAGGTGGGGGAAGGGGTGTGGCCGGGGAAGAGGGGCTGGGACATCACTCCAGACCACCAGGAGCTCCTGGTGTCACATCCAGGGCCTCTCAGCTGCTGATCTGCCTCCTCCTCCGTGACACTTCAGGTCCACCACCTGCACACTTGAGTCAGCAGCAGGTGAACCATCCCCGAGGGCCTCCTTCCTGAGCAGGCTCTGGGGCTCCCCCAGGGAGCAGCTCTCTGCTGGGAACTCAGCTCAGAAGTATCGCTGAGGACTCAGGCATTTTTAACCCAGGGGAGCATAAACTGAAGGCAGAGATGATCCCAGGAGAGAACCAGTCAGAAGGGCTGGAGAGATAGTACGCAGCGGTCAGGGCACTTGTGCCTTGCTCACAGCTGATCCAAGTTCAATCCCCAGCATCCCATTTGGTTTCTGAGCATAGAGCTAGGAGTCAGACCTGAGCACCAGCAGGTGTAGCCCAAATTTAAAAAATAAAATAAAATAAAAAGAAGAAGAAAGAAAAGAACCAAATAGGGTACTGTGAGTTCCATGAGGGAGGTCACAGCCAACTGGAGGGGTCGGCAAAGGTCTTGGCAAAAGTGACCTGGAGAATGGCCTGGAAGGATAGATGGGCTATGGCTTTAGAATCATAAAGGAGAGGCCTTTCCCACATCAGCGCTCGAGGAGCGACGGGGATGTGGTGGGGAAGCACAGGGTGCAGCCCTGAGTGTCCCTGAAAGGATGAGCCCAGTTACAGACTCTGGGAAGCTCTATGGGGGTCCAGAAGCCATGCAAGCTGGGGGGGGGGGGACCAGAAGGGGCACAGAGCTGCACTCAGGGGAGGTGCTTTCCCTACCCATCTTCCCTGGCTCCAGCAGCCTGGGTGTGCAAGAGACTTCTGCTCCTAGCAATTCCAGATCTTAGCTTCTTCCCCGGGGGGCTCCTGTTCTTGCTGCAGCTCAGGGGTGACTCACGGGGTTCCCGCACATCTCCAGGCCCTCGCGGAGATGCTCAAGGTGAACAGCGTGTTGAAGACCCTGAACGTAGAGTCCAACTTCATTTCCGGAGCCGGCATCCTGCGCCTGGTGGAAGCCCTCCCCCACAACACTTCCCTCGTGGAACTGAAGATTGATAACCAGGTAAGAGGGGTCACTCAGTAGGGGGTTCCCGGCCGCCTCCACCAGGCCACGCTCCCGGTTCTGAACTTGCCTGCAAGCCACTGGCCAGAGCAGCTGGGGCTGAGTCCAGCTCCCAGAGATACCCGTGGCTGCCCCATCGACACCCTCCCTCCTGCTCATCATGCCTGCCGTGTATTCTTCTGGCTCCTGCTTCTCTTCCGCCGGGAACCAGGAGCTCATTCCTCACTTAGCTTTCCCTTTCCTCCGTTCTTGGGGAGAGCATCCTTATGACCCAGAGAAATTGTCTCCCTGGACCCCTGCTCAGTGGCCTCCACTCTGTTCTCTGCTGCACACATCCATGCCTCAGCATCAGGGGCCCTTCCTCCAGAGTGTGGTGGCCAAACTGTCTCTCCAGCCACTGAGCTGGTCCTCGGAGCAGATTCTCGCTGGTCTTTGTCTTTATCAGATTAGCACATCTCTGTCCCCCTCTGTGGTTCAGGGGTTGATGCCTTAAGGCCACTCTTTTTTTTTTTTAATTTTTATTAGTGAGACACCATGAGGTACAGTTGTAGACTTATAAATTTTGTGCTTGGGTTTCAATTATACAACGATCAAATACCCATCCCTCCACCAGTTCCCATTTCCCACCACCACGGACACCAGTATCCCTCCCACCCCCATCCCCCCCATCCCACCCTGCCTCTGTGCCAGGGCATTCCCTTTTGTTCTCGCTCCCTTTTGGGTGTTGTGGTTTGCAAAAGAGGCAATGAGTGGCAATCATGTTTGGTCTGTAGTCTACTTTCAGCATGCTTCTCCCATCCTGGGAGGATCCTCCCAACACCCTTTATTTGGTGCTCCCTTCGCTATCTGAGCTGCCTTTTCCCCTAGCATGTGTGGCTGGCCTCCAAGCCATGGAGCAAAATTCCTGGTACTAATCTCGGCCATTCTTGGGTGTTAGTCTCCCATTTTGTTACTTTATGTTTCCCAGATGAATGCAATCTTTCTATGTCTATCCCTCTCTTTCTGGCTCATTTCGCTTAACGCGATACTTTCCATGTAGTACCACTTGTATGTAAATTTCATGACTTCATCTTTTCTCACAGCTACATAGTACTCCATTGTGTAAATGTACCAAAGTTTCTTTAACCAGTCATCTGTTCTCGGGCACTCAGGTTTTTTCCAGATTCTGGTTATTTCGGTTATGACTTTCCAAGAAGGTACTAATAAGAATGCCCTGTCTGGCAACAGCGTGTGTGTGTAGAGTTGAGGGTCTATTGTGGGCCAGGCGCTGCTCTACACACCTCACAGCGTCATCTCTCCTCTCCTCAGCAGTCCTGTGGGAAGTTGGAGTGAGCTGCCTTGGGTGGTGGTTGGCGGAATCTGAGACAGGCAGCTCAGGCTAAGGACAAGCTAGATTTGCAGAGCCTGTGATAGGGAGGAGAAATGGAATCCCAGTCTCTGACGCCTCGTAATGTTTCCAGTGCTGACACCCCATCCTGTCTTTGAACAGGGAACCTGGTTGTGTTTTTCTGCATGAAAAACATGTAGGTCATAGACATACAGAGACGCATGGGGGCGGGGGAAGGGGAGGAAATAGAATAGAACTGGAACAGGTGGCTATGCCTGAATGACATTGGATAGCTGCATTTTTTATCTTTCAAATCTCTGAAATTTGACAGGTGCGTACGGCTTGGCAAACCCTAATAAGTATGTCACCCTGCCCCCCACCCATCACCCAGCACCCCAGCAGGGCGATCTGATCTGCGCACTGGGACACATAATGGTGTCTCTCTCACCACCCCACACCACCTCCGGGGCAAGATGTAGTGCAAGGAATTGAGTGGCAGTCATGTTCGGTCTAGAGTCTACTCTCAGCACACATCTCCCATCCTGGGCGGATCTTCCCAACACCCTTTATTTGGTGCTCCCTTCTCTATCTGAGCTGCCTTTACCCCTAGCATGTGCGGCTGGCCTCCAAGCCATGGAGTAAAATTCCTGGTACTTATCTCGGCTATTCTTGGGTGTTGGTCTCCTATTTTGTTACATTATGTTCCCCAGATGAATGCAATCTTTCTATGTCTCTGTCCCTCTCTCTCTCAATTCCTCTTTTGCAAACCAAGCACCCAAAGGGAGAAAGAGAACAAAAGGGAATGCCTTGCCACAAAGGCTGGGTGGGGTGGGGGGAGGGGTGGATGGGAGGGCTACTGGGATCATTGGTGGTGGAGAATGGGCACTGGTGGAGGGATGGGTACTCAATCATTGTATAACTGAAATCCAAGCACAAAAATTTGTAAGTCTACAACTGTACCTCATGGTGTTTCACTAAAAAAAAAAAAAGATGTAGTGTAAGGAGAACATGGGGAGGGGGCAAATACTCTTGTTCAGGTCATGGACAAAAAGGGTGCCAGCCTCCAGAGGACTCTCGTCCGTCCTCTTCCCACCAGAACTCTTGTGAACTGCTTCAGTTTGCTCCTCACTTACTCTCAAGCCTTCACGGCTTTGCTCTTGATTTTTTTCCCCTCTTCTGGAATGTTCTTCCCTGTCCCTACCCCTTCTCGACCTGGAGAAATCCTCCTCTTTTCTTTTGGACATAGCTGCACCCTCTCCTCCCGGACGGGAGAGACGACTCAGTGAGCTAGTATGCAGGCTTTGCATGCAGGAGTCCCCAATTCAGTCACCTGTATTGCATGTTCCCCTGAGCACTGTCAGGAGCAGTCTATGAGCACTGAGTGGAGAGTAACCCCTGAGCACTGCTGAGTGTGAAGGAAAGAAAGAGAAGACCCTTTATTCCCAATAAGCTGACTTGTAACACCTTGTAACACCTTGCTGGAGCCGATAGCCTGGATGCTTCTCATTCCCCTCCAGCGAGGGTCCCTTGATACCTTGAAATTGCCCCAGGGGAAACGTTGGCACCTTGGCAATGGGCAAGCCCTGCCAAGTCAGTGCCCCCCTTTTAGATTGCCAATACTCTGCTGCCTTAGCCTGCCATGGCTCCTCTAAGATTCTTAAATGGCTGCTTAAGTGTTTTCTAATCACAACCTCTTTTGTACCCAGGAAACACACCCTAAGCAATGCTGCCAGAAACACCTCAGATTCATGACAGGGTTGATTTTGCATGATTTCATCTTATCTTCTTTTTTTTTGGTTCCTGGGTCTCATCTGGCTGTGCTCAGGGCTTGCTCCTGACTTTGCACTCAGGGATCACTCCTGGCAGAACTCAGGCGACCATCTGGGGTGCCAAGGATGCAACCTGGGTTGGCCATGTACAAGGCAAAGGCCTTTGCCACTGTACTATCCCCTACCTCTCACTGTACTATCCACTATCTCTCTGTCCCCTAATAAAGGGGCTGATTTTTAATTAAAGTTTTAGTTATGACACATTAAGAGCCTTTCACTATTGGCAGATTGTTTTTTCTTTGCCTGCATTCAGTTACACAAATGCGTAAGTGGCCTGACCCACCGTTTAAGAAGCTGCTATCTAAGCCTTGCCCAGAGAGAGGTCAGATCCCAGATTCTCTCCCTCTGTTTCCCTCGAACCTCAGCCTCCTGGTGGACGTCCCTGATATCAAGTTGGACTCATCTCTCTGCCCTGGCACAATGCTTAGGACTGAGCCCTGGTGGGAAGGGCTGCCCTTGATCGTTGTGCATGTTGTTCACTGAGCAATGTGGTGGCAGGGAGTGAAATTCAGCACACACTCCCCTCTCCAAGCCTGGCCATGGGGCTTTGCACCTCTGACAGGGGAGTTTTGGTTTTAATTCATCTACAGAGACCACAGGGGCCAACAGTGGCCTGCCGTGTGGATCCGGGCAGCACTGGCATCTTTGGGGAGCTGATCTGCCCCCATTTTCAGTTCCTCGCCCCCCCCCCCCACCCCATGCTTTCTACCCTCACCGACCCTGCCTTCCTGGAAGCCAGAGGACCAGAGCAGATGGAACAAAGGCAGCAGCAGGCTTGGCAGAGGCCTGTCCCTGGGATTAGCCACTCAGGTGACTGTTGGCTTGGCCGGGAGTAGGGAGGGGGTCAATCCAGAGCCACGGAAACCCGACTTTCGAGCCAAGTGGCCAAAAATGACCCGGAGCCCGATGTCAGGGAGCCAGCTGCCTACCTGCCCACTCCCACTGTGCCCTGAAGGCTGGGGTGGTGGCCAGGCCCCCCCTCACCTCAGGCTTACTCATTCCTACACTGTAAAACAGGGCCACTGAGGGCCTTTATTTCTAAAGTCACCTGGGCATGGGCCAGGAAGATGGGGACAGCAGGGCTGGCACTGGCCTCACACACTGCATCCCCTGGCTCTGTCCTCAGCACCCAACATGGCCCCTGCTGGAGTGATCCCTGAGCACAGAGCCAGGAGTAAGGCCCGAGCACCATCAGATGTGGCCCCATAATAAGCACATAAGGAGATCATGGTAAACGCCAGGATGCCATTGGCTTTTATGATTATGAAATAGTCAGTGCCATGGCTTATTCAGGCTTCTGAACATCCATTAGCTCACTGGGTCCTCATGGAGACTGAAGGGCAAGGGTAGGAGAGGGTCACACTCTGCCTGCAGCATCGATGAACACCCAGGGGTCCAGGAAGGCTCTATAGCGGACTCGAGGCCACACAGCCTTGGCAGAAGTTAGGGCAGCAGGTTTGGACCCAGATCTTTGTGGCCACCCATCTGGCGCTGTGCCTGTCTGCATCCTGGAAGGCTTCCCTGTCCGACTTCCCTGTGCCTCAGAGCAAGGCCGCTGGTCATCAGTGTACACACATGCACACATGTACACATATATGCACACGCATGCACATGCACCCCACATGCATATATACACACATGCACACATGTGCACACACACGCACACACATAAACCCACATAAACCCACATGCATATGTGTACACACACATACACATGTGTGCACGCGCACACACACACACACACACACACACACACACACACACATGCTCTGAATCTTTCTCTTTTTTGTTGTTGTTCCATTTGCACAATTGTTAAGCATGAGTTGTGCCCCAGGACTGGGCTC